CGCTTCTTGAGCCAGAGACCCCTGCACCAGCCACGTCTACTTGCTGATAAATGAGTAAGAGCTACGTTAGCAACTCGTCAAGGTCTTAATCAAATGCTTCTCTCGCATTGTTTCCCCTTCTTGTCAACAGAATGTCAACTGGACAAGACTCTTGGCTTCCTTTCCACGCGGTGTTTGCTAAGGGCTCGGTAACTGAAGGACTTCTACCCTAAAAAATGGCCGTAACTCTGTAAAGGGAGTGATGCTTTTAGGTGCCTTTTTCCCTAGGCCAGCGGTTCTCAACCTGTGGGTCGCGACCCCTTTGGCGGTCGAACAACCCTTTCACAGGGGTCGCCTAAGACCATCCTGCCTATCAGATATTTACATGACGATTCATCACAGTAGCCACATGACAGTGATGAAGTAGCAATGAAAATAATGTTATGGTTGGGTCACCACATGAGGAGCTGTATTTAAAAGGCCAGAAGGTTGAGAACCACTGCCCTATGCTATTAGTTTACACACCAAACAAGAGAAAGTTTAGAAATAGACTAATTATAGACAATACAGGACCTGGTGACATGAACCAAGTAGTGAGTGTGAGTGTGTGTGAGAGAGAGAGAGAGAGAGAGAGAAAGAGAGAGAGAGAGAGAGAGAATATATGGTCATATCATTTAATAGAGGTCAAATATGCTGCTACTGGGTTTGAAAACAGTGCCAAATAAGAGACAGGTGCGATTTCGACTCCAGGACTGAGAAGAACAGAGACGAATGGGTCCAGCCTTTAATGCGTAAGAGACATAATCTGGCCAGACAAGCAAGTCTGCTTCTCAACTACCAGTCGGAGGATTCCACCAGGTGCCCTGCCCTGGGCTGCACCGTCCACGGAGGAGGAAGCTCAGTGAAGCTGCTCAGGAATGCACAGGCGGATGGGCATGGGCATGGGCGGTGACGGGGATCCACACAGCGGATGCCACACCCCCTTCTGCTGCCCAGACGAGGCTAACAGAGGACCCGAAGAGAAGGAACCATCACTTTAGCCCAGGAGTGGTGGCTGGGGCTGACGCCAGGCAAACATTTCATGGGGACCTAGAGTTCATGGAGATCAGGATACGCCCTCCTTCCTCTCCCTTTGCAGGGATGTGGCCCGAGTAGCCACTCAGCCCCTATGTGCTGTCCCCTGCGGTGACACCTACTGCAGTACCTGGAACGCAGTACGGCTGTGGATACTCACTGAATGAGTCAGGTGTGGCAAACCCTCCTCACTCTGTCCCCGAATTAATTTCCCACCATCCCCCTTCACATTTGCTCCATCCAATTTTTAGTGAACTTTGCAAATTCCACAGTCCGTCCTCTCGCTGCTGGTAGTCATCTCCAAGAGTTTTCTTTTATCCCCAAGCATGCTGGGGTGGGGGGAAGGCATTCCTAGAGATGATGAAGGAATTATTATGAAGACATTATTTCCCTCCTGATATTCTTCTGGGAAGAGAATTAGCCAACACCCAGGCAGACTGTCATCACCAACGCGATTTCGCCATTACCATTCTTACCTTCAAAAGCGTCCATGGGTTTGTGTGTTCATGTATGTTGGTTTTTTAAAGATTCCACGTGTAAGCGAAATCATATGGCATTTGTCCTTCTCTGCCTGACTTATTTCACTTAGCATAGTACCCTCTAGGTCCATTCACGTTGTCACGAATAGTAAGAGTTCATTCTTTTTTTAGGGCTGAGTAATGCTCACCTTGGAAGGTATATAAATGTCTAATCACTATGCTGTACACCTGAGAATAATAAATAATATAATACTGTATGTCAGCTATTGTTGAAAAATAAATTTTTTAAAAATAAAAGCATGTATGCACCCATGGTATGGCTAGAGCAGGGGTGGGCAAACTTTTTGACTCGAGGGCCACAATGGGTTCTTAAACTGGACCGGAGGGACGGAACAAAAGCATGGATGGAGTGTTTGTGTGAACTAATATAAATTCAAAGTAAACATCATTACGTAAAAGGGTACGGTCTTTTTTTTTTTTTAGTTTTATTCATTTCAAACGGGCCAGATCCGGCCCGCGGGCCGTAGTTTGCCCACGGCTGGGCTAGAGTCATAGACATAGTGAGTTAACAGATCATGGGAATTGCTCTAAAAGCTCATCACCCAAGACAAAGAGCTCTGACATTAAGCTGTGACACACTGATACATGAGCCTTAAACAAGGATGTTAATTAATTGTGCAAACAAATTTCACTACGAGTGGATACTGACTTAGGAGAAGGAACCATTTCCAAACAGATTAGCCACATCGTTTACATATAAGCCAGATCAGTGAAATACAAACAGGGACCAAGCTGCTCTGATCCACTAATCATCTCTACCAGTTCATTATGAATGTCTTTACAAGGCCACGCAGTAGCACAGTTTCATTACATCGTTTCAAAGTTAGGCAGAAATGTTTTAAGTCTGTAATTCCACCTTCTTAGATCAAACCGTCCTGCATGTTGCACCAGATTACAAGTGTTGTAAGAGCAGGATTCTGCCTCCTCTGCCCTGAGTGCAAGCCTAGCGCCCAGCACCGGTGCCTGACACACAGTAGGTCCTCAATAAATATTCACCGTGAGCCTGGATCTGCTCTAGGTGCTGAGGAGAAGTGCTCAGTGGCCAGCAATGGCTCCAAGTAGAGGTGGCTGTGGGTAGTTGCCCCAGAAACAGCAGGGAGTGGGAGCCAGGGGAGGGGTGGCATGGAGCGCCCAGATCTCCTCTGTGTCTGCTCTCCCTCTTCCTGCCTCTTCTCTCCCAACCATGACTCTGAAAAGGGACACATGTCCTTCTCCACTGGATGAAGGCAGCTGGTTCCCAGCATTCGTCTGCTATCATCATGGCTCTGTGACACGCTTATCTCCAGCCCAGATTCTGAAAGGGCTTGTGTATCTAGGTGCAGCCCAGTGAGACAGCAGAAAATAAAGGACTCCTTGCATTGATTCAGGAGGCACCGGAAAAAACTTACCTTCTCTGGGCCTCAGTCTTCCTGTCTACGTCATGAGAGGGGAGCTCTCAATGGACCCCTAAAAGCCCTCCCACACTGCCCCTCCCCTGGGAACTGCCCTGAAGACCACGTCACCACCCACACTCCCTTTCGCTCAGACCACATGCCATTGCTCAGACCTTTATCTTTCCCCTCCTGACTTTCCCAGGATCCGGATCCAGAGAGTTCTCGGCCGAAAAAGCTCACCTAGAGTCCCTGACAACCTCTGCCTCCCCACCCCTGGGTGCTGGCGCCATTTGGGGGCTCAGGCCATCTGGTCTCCAGATGACCTAATCCTATATAATAAAAGGCTAATATGCAAATTGTCCCCTCGACCGGGAGTTCAACAGGGAGTTTGACCAGGGGGCGGGGCCAACCAGTCAACCTCCTGCATCCCCTTCCCCCGGCCAGCCCGGCCCTATCAGCCCCGATCGGGGCGGGCCCGCCAACTGGACCCCACCGATGCACAAATTCATGCACCGGGCCTCTAGTAAATCCATAATTCTTTACCCCTTTCAGCCTCGTGCGTTTCTCCTTCAGTGACCGTAACACTGAGGAAGTCCTTGGGGGCTGGGCATGAGGTGGGGGTTGGGCTGGGCTTGCTCCCCTCTGCCCCCTCATGAGGCCCCAGCTCTGGGGTTTAAATAATTAGGTTGCTTTTGGCAATTGAATCAAGTTTATCAACATCAAACATACCGATTTATATATATCCTAGAGGCCCGATGCACGAAAATTCCTTCCCCTGGCTGCTGGCACCGGCTTCCCACTGGCACCTGGGACTTGGCTGGCTTTCCCCAGGCCCAGCTTCCTCAGGAAGGACGTCCAGAATGATGTCTGGAAGACGTCCGGTCTAATTAGCATATTACCCTTTTATTATTCTAGATGATATGTAGCATCAACTACTTACGTTCTATATTAAACTCCACTGTATTTCCTTAAGAGGGCCCCAGGTGAACACCAGAAGGACTGCCTCATGGCTGAGGCCACTGATGACCATGAACCTGGCACAACCATGTCTGAGGGCCCAGGGGAAAGAGCATCAGTGACCGAAATACACGGCCGCAGCAACCTTCGGCCAGATCTGCACGTTTCCAAATGAAGCCGGGGCCTCCCATGGCGCTGGCACTGACTCCCCGTGCCTGCCGGAAGCCAGAGGAGTAAAACAGCCACCTCGTTCTCTCGCTCAGGTTTCTACCCATCTCCGCTTCTTTACCAACTGAAGACTCAACCGCAGTTGCCTCACCCAGATGTTTATCAGACGAGAGAGCATTGAAAAACCAAGTTATCCCAACGTAGCTGAGCAACACCTGGAAACAGTGCCCCTGCCTCTCTTTCTAAGTCTTCGTCAAAATTCAAACTGCGTTTCTTGGCTAGAACAGGACAAGTGAAGTCGCTCCCCAGAAGCCCCACCAGGAGTCAGGCCCCAAAGCAGAGCTGTGATTTCTCCGAGGAGGAGAACACAGTGAGCATGTCACCGCATCTACAAAGCATCCTCAGGTCTAATTCCTGCGCTGTGTCTGCCTCCTGCCTCTGCCCGCCGTCTTTTGTGTTTCTTTCAAGGGTGACAATTCTGTCCAACAAGGGAAACCCCTTTTTTGTGCCAAAATCAAATCAGATCTCCATTAACTGGAATGTCTGAATTTACTGTTTAGTACATGTAACCAAAGAAAACCCTACAGGACTTCCAATGAATTCCACTTTGTCTCCTTTTCTCCCTGCTACCTCCTTTTTTCTTTCTTTTTTTCAGAGAGAAAGACAGAGGGAGAGAGAGAGAGAAACATCAATGATGAGAGAGAATCACTGACCAGCTGCCTCCTGCACGCCCCACACTGGGGATCAAGCCCGCAATCTGGGCATGTGTTTTGACCAGGAATTGAACCGTGACCTCCTGGTTCATAGGTCAACCTCCTGTTTTAAACAAATAAACCGGAGCCCTGGTTTTCTCCTTTCCCCGCATACAGGGCCCCACACCCTGAGCCAGTGGAGACGGCGGGGTGCCTACCTTGCCCAGGCCCGGTGTGTCCTTCACCTTGCTGACGGCCCGCAGCAGGCAGGGCGGGGCGGGGGGCGGAGAGGTCTGCAGGATGCCACTGAAGCTGGTGCCGAAGAGAGGGGGCTCGGCCACGGAAGTGGAAGGTCGGTGCTTCTTCTTCTTAGAGGACAGATTCAACTTCTGGGCAGCTCTGGAGGGAAAATGCAGAAAGTGAACAATAAGGGGAAAGGCTGGTGCCATCACAGATATGCATGTGACTTCATTCTCTCGCCCTTAAAGGACCTCCTCGTTCTCGCTGAAGCTTAATCGTTCTCTCTCCATCCTCCGTGGGCTCCATAGCCGCCCTAAACTACAGCGGAGTCGACTTAACGAGCTCCCCAATCATTTCTACGGCAGCCAAGAGCCGTAAAAGTGCCCGGGTCTGCGGTGGAGATTTACACAGGATTGTCTGTTACCCACAGACACGCGGCTTAAGCAGGAATAGGCCGGGCGTCTTTAGGGGTAAACAGCACCTATCAGGCTAATCACGCCGTAACTTCTCCAGCATGAACTCCAGGGAGGGGCCTTACGCCTGATGGAGAAATACCAGCGCCTTGTAAAGCCAGGCCGGCCTGATGAAGGGCCACGGGGAGGCCGATCAAGGCACCCTATGTACGTGCCTGTGGGAGAGAAACACACGCCCCAGCTGTGGGGGAATAAGTCCAGCTGATTTTAGAAACGGAACAGCAAATCGGAATGAATGCGGACGGCTGTGCAGGGCTGGGATGGGGCTGCTGCCCGGAAACAGGCTGGTTGTGCGGGGTGGTCTCCCAACACAGAATACGGTCCCCGGGCACGTGGGAGGGCGAGTGGGTCGGAGCCAGCGAGGGCACCAAGGGGCCGGGAGGGCGGGGGCGAGGCTGCCACGCCACTGACAACACTGGCTATTTCCACCGCATCTTCCCTCGTTCAAATGTTCTGTGTCAGGTAACGCACCATCGTCTGATCACAGCGAAGAGGGAGAACACAGGGAACAGGGTCGGGCGAAAGGCATCTCACGGACTATGCTATACTCATTTCTGGATTAATTCGCAGTGTTTCCAGACTCTTGTTCAAAGAATCTCGATGTCCTTATCAAATATCATTCAACACAGTGAGCTGCTGCTTAAGCAAATGGACGGCCAGGACTTCGTTCTGCAGGTCAAAACCTGATCACCAGCCGGTGTTCCCAGCGGTAACCTCGCAGGTCGCAACAGCGGCGAAGCGAAAAGATAAAATCAGCATCGTTTCCACCTTCCCTCTCCCTCCCCGGCCTCCGCATTGGGAGGATCTGGAAAAGTCAGTTTTACTTTTGTATCAGTGATTATCAAGCTTTTTTTCTACTGTTAATCCTCACCCAAGAATGTTTTTCCCATTGATTTTTAGAGAGAGTGGAAGGGAGGGGGAGAGACAGAGAGAGAAACATCGATTGGTTGTCTCCTGCATGCGCCACACCCACAACCAGGCCTGGGGATTGAGCCTGCAACTGAGGTAAATGACCTTGACCGGGATCGAACCTGGGACCCTTCAGTCCACGGGCCGATGTTCTATTCACTGAACCAAACCAGCTAGGACCGTGGTCAGCAAACCGCGGCTCACGAGCCACACGCGGCTCTTTGGCCCCTTGAGTGTGGCTCCTCCACAAAATACCACGTGCAGGCGCGCACGTACAGGGCTATTGAAACTTTGTGGCCCATGCGCAGAAGTCGGTATTTTGTGGAAGAGCCACACTCAAGGGGCCAAAGAGCCGCATGTGGCTCGCGAGCCGCGGTTTGCTGAGCCGCAGTTTGCTGACCACTGACTAGGGTAGTAATTATCATGCTTTTGACCGACCAGTCCCCTGAGCTACAAAACTACCACTGCACAAGTATAGCGAAGAATTACTATTTCATAGCTTAGCTTTTCTGAGCCATAAAACTGAACATCGGATCCACGAGAATGAATAGAGAGCAATGGGATACGGGAGGAAGAACAGATCTTGCTGGAATGACACCTCACAGCCCCAATCCCGAACGTAGGGAACCCTATGGGCACTCAGGTGAAGGGTGATGAAAACGAAGGGCACTGGAAGGTTTCCACAGAACTCCTCGCGCCAGGCGGCGGACAGAAAACCTTGGAATCGTTTCTTTTCATGGCCTCTTCGCCACTCTCCCTCCAGCGACAGGCGAGGCAGAGCTGGTGGTCAGCGAGGAGGCGGGGCCGCGTGGCAGCTTTCATTCTCTCTGAGATTCTCTCCCTAAACCAACAGTGACTCGTGTGGATGGACGTGCGTGTCAGCGTCATGCTCTCCTGGCAGCCTGGCTGCCTGTGCCTTAGAGGGTCAGGAAGAGGGGGAGATGGTGACCCACGACTGGCAGGTGCTGCTTCTCCATTCACAATAGGATTCTTTTGTCCAGTCGGTTGCTGTGGTTCCCACTCCCTCACCAGTTGGGGTTCCCAGTCCAAATGGGAGGACAGAGAGGAGAAGGGAGAAGAAGAAAATGCTATTGAAAGGCAACTTAGAAGGGCCTGCTGCTGCTTTCCTTTTTCTTATCTGTCCCACCCACGCCCACACTCCCTGCCCAAGGGGAAAGTGAAGCACAAAAAAGGACACAAGAACATAACACCAGGGTTTCTCTCCTCTGCCCTCCCCTCCCCACCCCTTCTCTTCTCTTCCCTCTCACAATATAAACTTTCCCTCTATACTAGATCATCTCCAACGGCATACAAGTTTGCTGTTATTTCTCCCATCTTCAAAGCTAAAACACAAATCCTTCTCTTGATTCTTCTTCCCTAGTCAGCTACTGCTCTGTTTCCTTGCTCATCTTTGCAACGGAACTCATGGAACCTGTGTACACTTGCTTCTCCAACTCTCCTCGCATTCGCTATAAACCCATTCCAATGAGGTGACCGGCTCACTGTTCCTCTGAAACTGCCCTTGTGAGGCCCCCAACGACCCTCAGGGCTCCTGGGTGCGATGGTCTCGGCCCCACCTTATGGGACCCCTCAGAGCACTGAGCGCGTCCTTCTGCCTGACACACTTGCTTTCTTAGGTCCTCCCTTCGCAATTTCCTCTAGGAAAAATAGTCACTATAGGCATTATGGGGCAGAGATAACCATCCCCACTATGTCTTGTCTGAATTTCTGAACTCTGGAAACCATGAGCAATCACTGCTGCTTCAAGCCACTACATTTTAGGGGTCACTGGTTACATAGCCATAGTAAATGATACACCACCCACTCCAATGTCCTTATTTCACCTGTCCTGCTTGCCTTACCCACCCCTCCTCACCACCATGGCAATGATTATCTTCTAACATAATAGACTAGAGGACCGGTGTACGAAATTCGTGCATGGGTAGGGTCCCTAGGCCTGGCTGGCAATCAGGGCTGATCTGTGGGGTAACCGGCGGGCAATCGGGGGGCCCCCACTGGTACCCACCTTGGCCGCCTGGCCCCACCCACTTGTTGGCCCCACCCTCCGCCACTGCGGCCAGTCGCCTCCCTCTGCGGGGCGACCTGCAGGGTGATTGGGCCGGGGGCTGGCACTCATCTTGGCTGGCCTGGGGCCTGCACGCTGGGGGCAGCTCCTGCGTTGAGCATCTGGCCCCTGTTGGTCAGTGTGTGTCATAGCGACTGGTTGTGCTGCCGGTCATTCCGCCGTTAGGACGATTTGCATATTAGGCTTTTATTATATAGGATGACTAGTTATCATGTGTGTTGTTTAGTGGCTGTTTCCTGACTAGAATGTAAGTTCTGATAGGACAGAGTTCAGACATATTTGTTGAATGAATGACTCAAGACTGAAGGAGCTAGGGATATTGAGACTGGGGAATATAAACCTGGAAAAGGGGGAAGGAAGCGAGTTTTTAAAAAACTGTCTTTAAAAATGTGAGTAAATGATATGTGCCAGGAAGTATTTTTCAAGCAAGAATTCTCAATAATTTCCTCGGCCAACTTTCTTAATTTCAGGAAACCGTGTGAGGAAGATAATAGTATTCCCTATTGACCAGACAAAGAAATGAGGCTTAAAGAATTAAATTCAGAGTCCTTTTCATATCTGACCTGATTTTGAACATGCAGCTTTTCCAGATACTAGGTAGATAATAGGCAAGTCACTCAAATTCTGGTAATGTTTATAATGTACATAAAGGGCCTAGCGCAGCACCTGGCACATAGCTGGCATTCAATAACACTATCATCATTATCATTATCACAAATATTAGCATCAAGCCTCACTTTCTGCATAGCAAGATACAGCAAAAATAGAACCTACTTTTATAGACTTTTTATGAAAATTAAATGAGTGCATATAAAGTGGCTAGTACACAGGAAGAGCTTCATAGGTGGTACTTCAAAGGTATGTAATACTAAATAGTGGAGCCCAGAATGAATCTAGGTCTGTGTGCCTCATACTGCACCCTAAAATCTCTACCCAGGGGCAAAATAAGGTGAGATGTAACAGTAGGGATAAGGGGCATGTTGGTGAGCTTGGATAAACCATGAGCAATGGATCTGCTTCATGGAATAGTGAGCCTTCTGTCACTGACTAGACGTTTCCAAGTAATGGCTAAAAACCCATTTGCATAGAATATCAGGATAAGTGAGCACGCATCTGGAAAATCAGACGACTCCAAAATCTCTGCCAATGCCGAGATTCTGCAAGGATCCTGGAATTTCTATTCCATTTAGGGAAGCCTCTGTTGGCCTCCATGCAGAAAAAATAGTAATGGAGGAGTTTATTTTGACATTACATTTAAAAATCATTTTCTTGAGGAATCACTATGTTGTATACTGAAACTGATATGATATTGCATGCCCACTGCAATTGAAAAATTAGAAAATACATTTTAGCAATTATGTTCTTCTTAAACATGTATATAAAAATATATGAGAATTCCACAACTTAGAAATTAATAAGTCACATTTTACAGCCATCTCTGTAATCTGTAGGAACATTTATTTTAATTTTGACATCATCATAACCAGCTGTTGGATCTCTATTTCATGTGTTCCAATTTCTTGGAAGTCAGCAGCTTCTGTTCTTTTTATATAGTACCTCAGACATGCAGACAGGAGAAGGTGAAGGTCAGGGAATCACTCCTGTATAATTGTATTATTCAGTGACACAAAGGAGAAGCAGTCAGGAAAGAATTGAAAAGGTAGAGAGACATTCTGGCTAGAGGTGTATTT